AAACGCAAGTGTGATGCGAGACTGTCAATTAAAATGTTGTCATTTCTTTGCAAATATTTTCTTAATTTGGGTATTTAAGTGATAAGTATCATAGTTTTGTCTCTTGAACACAAATTTTTGTCAACTTAACGAATGGTTTGATAGTGATGGAATTGCTTTTTTCTGGTTATATTCTGATTAACGTGCTATTCTTGTGCATTTTGCAGAGATTTTTTGCTTACGATACATGCTGATTGTGTAATTATTTACAACTTTTAACAGTCACTCTCTGTAATTCATGATAAGGTGACAAGTTTTTGTTGAGAGAAAAATGAAATTGTGTTAATCACAGCAGTCGCTCTTCATAAAGATCCCTTTGCATCTAAAAACATCGTTTGCGAATTTTGCTTTCGAAGAGTTAATTTGAAAAGTGGCAGCGTCAAATTGTTTCTCCGCCTGAGGCAGGAGGACAGATTTTCTGATAAAGCCGTTGTCAACTAGAAATACGGTAAAATGCTTGTTAACTACCAGTGAATTTGATGGAAAGTTGGAACCATAATGAATATTTGAAGTGTAATGTTGAGTGAGTCTTGGAAATTGGAGCAATTTGAATGAAGAATTGGAATTAATTTAGGAATGGCACCTGGAGAAGATTCGAAAAAGCCGACGGTATCTCCGAACGCGAAACGTCGTCGTAACGAACCGTTGAAGTCGTTGAACGCAAAACCGTCGGCTTCCACCTCCAATTCAAACGCAACACCTCGCGCACCAATCAAGCCTCGTCAGTCACTCTTACCACCGAAAATAATTCACAATAAAGGTACATTGTTATTGCTTTTGTTCCCCTATCATATTCGATCAGCTCAAGCGATATTATTTTCCATTTCAATAGCAACTCAACTGATTGCATCAGATTCGATGTAATGATCCACATTTTCGCCTCTATGCGATCATATATCTTGTTTGATTCTCACAGGTGCATTTTTCAAAGATGACGAAATCATTCGAGTATCAGCAATAATGATAGTAAAAAGAATAAAGTAGTAACATCTTCAGCCACAAAAGGTAACGAACCGTTGAAAAAGACTTCTCCTCTGTCGAGAACTGGAAGTTCATCAACGGTGTGTTCAGCACGTATTGCTTCAACAACAAATGCATCAACTCCAAAATCAAAAGGTTATCTTCTTCGTATTTTAACAATCTTCACGAAGATATGAGGAAGTCAACGAATTCATCTCTTATCTGTTTTGCAGTTGGCACTAAACAATCATCAAAAGTCAACGTCGCCCCATCCACAGCAACGACATCACATCTCTCAACCAATAAACGAACCAACACCAAAAAACCACGTTACTTTTGCATATTTCTCTCCGTTCAACACATTCCCGTTCTGAACTCTCTTCTGTTCATATAATGAATCTGAAACTGTTTCTTTATTAGTTTGAGAACGAATGCGAATAAGTATCTTTCCGAATAAAACTTTTCAANCGCGTGAATCATTTGAATTACTCAGTGATTGAATTTACAGAAGAAGATGATGCATGGAAATTGAAACGTCTCAACAGAGCTATATTAGCGTTCGACGCACTCTCGATTGTACTCGATCAGACACTACAAAAAGTATTTCAACAGTCACTTTTTATTATCTTCTCATTCATCCACGTTGCAATGGGCTGAATCGCTCATGAATTGAATATTCGCTTAGCGAAAGATCAAATCATTGTAAATTAGCCGTGACCTCTAAATTTGTTTCTTACTGTCGTTGTTCCTAGAGACAACGAGATATTTTTCGATTCTTTCATTTGCACACTATCTCCTCAGTCGAATTTTCGAATGATTGAACGTTTTCCTTATCGAAGTGATACAGAAAAATTGAAAATAGTATATTCACGGTGCACGAAGTATTTGAATCGTTTGTGAATTTTCTCATCCATATATTGAAAACGAATGCTTTTGAGAATACATTCGATTTTAGTGGTGATTTGAATGATTGTTTTTTAGTTCTTATTCGTGCATAATTGACTTTCTAAAATGCGATCGTAATATGATCACAACATGTTTTGTGATGCGATGCTGGCAGCTGATAATGAGTCGAGATCGTTTAAAACTTTATGTGTGCACACAGGTCGCAAAACCGATTGTGACAAACGAAATGAAAGTAAACAAAATATTTTTGCTGTTTTATGATGATTTCTACTTTTGTGTTTCTTACAGGGCGAAAGCGAAATTGCCGCTCTCAGCGATGAAAAACACGACTTGGGTATGTTAATTATCTTCTATATTGAGATTATCAACTCTGTCCTTTAATGTAGCGGTG